TAAAAATAAGTTTTTGCAAACACAAATGCTACAAAAAGATTTTTAAGAAATGATATTAAGAAAGAGGAATAATTAAATATGTAAACAGTTTTTGTAATAACATTTGTTAGTCTTACATCACACATCCTGATGACAGTTGATGGATCTTCCCCAGATATGTAGCGTGGCAAACCAAGCAGAGCAGCAGCCCTTCTCCTTTCATTCGTGTCCTGTAAGAGATAAGACATGCAGTAAGATGAATATATTTTAACAAAAATAACAAATTATGCCTAGTTTTCTAGCCATCTTCAGTTCTGCTCACATCTTTTGCAAGGCAGTCCAAAATGTCTTTGAGTGGCTGCTTCTTCCCAGATTTGGTTGCTGCTTTGTAGACCTCCAGCAGTCTCAGAACCAGGCCATCAAGTCCGTCAACAAAAGATTTCAGAAGGTCTGTGGTGACGATTCTTGTAAATTCTGCCCTAATCTGAGGTGATAGAACATAAAACTCATCAGGACACAGTTAACTCAGTATTAAATCACTAAATCTCTTGGTGAAACTAATGCATGTCTCTCATGGAACAGAGCAGGCCATTGGGAGATGAGCTCTGTGATGTGTGGTTGATCTCCTACAATGTCTTTCCTACGCTGAGAAAATGTAGCAACCATCAAATCCTCAAGCAGCTGATGATTTGGGTCTTTCTTCTGCATTTCAGCCTCCATTATCTTGCGCTTCACCTCCATGTTTTCAGGACTCTGTCCTTCAGGTGGATCAGGACAGTAGTTCACCTCCCCCTTCTTTGACTTTTTGACAGTTTCCCCTTTTGAACTTCCAGATTTTCGTTTGTTTATGACCACCTCAGGGCATCCTGCTGAGCTTAATTTATGCCTGTAGTTTCCCATTTTAAATTTCAGACTGTGAAACCATGAGTACCATCCCTTTTCTGACCCTGGGTCTCGCAGACAGGGATGCCTTTCCACCAGTGTTTTGGCCACATTTTCATAGTGTTGCCTGTCAGGATAAGCACTAATCTTTGACACACAGTCTGCAAGTGTGTCAAGGATATTAGTCTTCAAAGTTTTAGAAATCACCATCACAGATCCATCCTTAGCATATCTACAATTAGCTTCTGTCAGTTACAGCTCCACATCATGGGAAAACTTTGGAATCGGGAAGGAGTGTCAGGCCATTTAACAAAATCTGCACTACTTGGAGAAGAGAGGCTTCCAGTGTCCAGTGTAGAATCCGAGGAGTCATCAGCTGTGAACAATACTTTCAAAGTTGCACGGTCCACAGGAAGGTCTTTGATGTCCGTTAGGTTGCACAACTGATTCTTGAAATCAGGATCCTCAAACTGCAAAATGAATCCTCCTCTTAGGGCAAGGTTGGTTCGTAACACCTGGTACAGTTCCTCAACACTTGAGGGGATGTCTTCAATTGAAAGACGCCTGATTTCACTTTCTGAAACTATGACACGCAGCAGCATTGTAGACAACTTAGACCTTAAAAAT